GTGTACGGCCTCTTTCAGAACGTACGCTGACGGATTGTAGACAGGCACGGGAACTGACAAACAGCCCAAATCATGGATTTGGAAAATCCCTTTTTGCCTTGACAAGGAATACTTTAAGTACACTGGTTGGAGTCCTAACTGGGCACAATCTGCTCAACCGCCATAAAATGGTGATGGGACTCCAAGACAATGGTCTGTGTGATGCCTGTGGCATTGAATAAGAGACTTCTTTGCACTACTTAGGCCAATGCTTGGCTCTGAGTAGTCTAAGGGAAAGAATTCTTGGAGACCCCTTTGTGGATCCCGAGAAGCTTAGAACACTGAGGGTTTCTAACCTGGTGTCCTTCATCCGAGGGACAAAAAGGTTTGATTAAAGCCCAGTATCTTTTGGGGAGAGCAATGGGCCCACTTATGAGGCCCCCGCTCACCTGGGTTGTACCCATCCCCAATTACCAATACCGCTGTAAACTCTTCGTCTTTTTTTATTTGATTTAAATTGTTTATTCTTTTCATTTAAAACCAAAAATTTTATACACATTAAAAACAAAAGATGTACACAACAAAAAAAAAATATACAAATCAAATTGAAATGAAAGGAGGTGACTTCCATCATTTCCGGTATCACTAAATTTGAAAACAACAATCATATATTTTGCTTTTGGATTTGGATAGCTTGAAGCAAAAACTAAACACTGTGGATTTTGAAATTGTTTGATTTTACATTTTTGCGGAAAACGGGAAAAATAAGAAAACTCTATTGTTTTCTTTTTCAGTTTTGTTTTGAGACAGAAAAGTGATGAAGATGACGAAGAGACTAATATTCAGTTCTGTTTTCTACGGAAGTGGCTTAAAAAAAGTGACAGAAAAACGAACCACACGGACTATACAGAGATTTGTATACTCATTGGGTCTCATTCACTGTCTTAAACTTTTTTTTCTACTTGTATGATATTCTTCTGTATATTATGTCATAGTTGACACTGATGAAAGCAACAGTTTAGTAACCATAACCATGTCTCACATGCCATCAGTGCTATATGGAAACTGTTATTCTTAAAAAAGCTGCTCTTATTTGATTAACATTTGATGACACGTTTGTCTTTTAGTTATTTGTAAAGGGAGTTGTGAATCAGGAGGAGCAGCAGGAGGTTCAGTACCCGCAGGCCCTTCACTGCATCTTCTGTGGAGCCCAAGGCCTCTTCATGGACAGCCTAATTAGAAACACCTCCGCAGTTATAGTGGTAAGTCCTCCGCATGGTGTAACTTTTGCAGCTACGCTTCCATCACTCTGTTGGTTGTCAGCAAAAAATAAACAATTTTCAGCTTATCAAAGGTTTGTCTCTAGCTGTCACCCACTGAGGATTGGGAACAAAATGTAAAAAAGTACAAAAAGACAGAACCGACTAATGCGTTAACTTACTGTCAGTATTTAAAAACACAAGAAAATTCTACTTTAAACGTAATAAAAAGGGTAAGATAGTTGAATACTGTAGGAAAAAATGTCCTGTTGAGTCACCTTAAGTCACTTTTATTTTTGAACAAATGCCACATCAGCTTGTGACGCGTCACTTATGGAACAATGGTGTAACACAGATATTGACTAATAAAGTCATATATAGGAATTAAAGCTTTGCCAACAAATCAGAAACCACATTGTTGCTCAATGCTTGTGGTATCAGCTACAGTTATGACATATGTGTGTAATAAATAAAAGCTGATTTTAAACGTAAAACTGGAATTTTGTTACTGGGACTTTTTTTGTGGTTGTTATTAACACACGTTTTTAAAATGGCAATGTACAACTTAAGGAAAAATCACAGCTTTTTGGTATTTTTGTTTTCACTATTAGCTGCTGTTCATTCAAGCAAGTTACTACTGTTTTTGTTAATTATGATATGTTTTTTTTAGTTGATATTGTCTCAGTGTAAGAAACTGAGTGCTTAGATTTCAGACTTACTCACGTTAAACTGTACGTACAGTGGATTGAAAAGGGATTCACCCTCCATGGTATTCTCTTTTTCCTTTTCTTTCTGGAGTTTAAATCAATTTTTATTGTGTTCATTACTAATTCTTCATAGGGTTGGGCAAAATTGTATTGTGTGCAATTAATCATATTTTTTGGGACTTGATGATTAATACGATTAATGCCGCCAGACAGGAGGTTTCCCTKTTCAGTCCGCTCAGCGCTCCTCTCTGCTTTAAATATTTTAAGTAAAAATCATTATGGTTTTAGAGCTAATAACTCAACATCAATGGCACTCATGGACTTAATTGAACAAATAACAACAGCTGTTGATCAAAAACAATATTGTGTCAGTGTTTTGTTGATTTAAAAAAAAAGCATTTGATACCATTGACCATAGTATCCTTCTGGATAAATTAAACAAATATGGAGGTCCAGCACTACAGTGGGTATCAAGTTATTTAACCAATAGGAAACAGTTTGTACAAATTAATGATGTAAGATCTGAACTTTGTAATATTGTATGTGGGGTTCCACAGGGTTCTGTACTGGGACCAAAGTTGTTTCTCCTATATATTAATGACTTGGTAAAGGTATCAGGGTTGTTTAAATGTGTTTTATTTTCAGACGACACCACATTTTTTTGCTTATGTAATAAGAACTGATGCTGGAAATGATGGAAATGGAATTTGTAAAAGTACAAAATTGGTTTAAACATAATAAATTATGATTAAATTTGGATAAAACAAATTACATGATATTTAGTAATAGAAAGAAAACAATTGATGTTCCATTTAGAGTAGAAGCTGTTGAAATCTGTAGAGTCAATGAGGTGAAGTTTTTGGGAATCATTGACAAAAAACTGACATGGAGACCTCATATAAACAACTTAAGAACAAAAATTGCAAAATGTATTGCAGTATTGTATAAAGTTAAGGAGTTATGTAATGATTAAGCACTATTTTACTATATAATGCAATAATTGTTCCACATTTGATTTATTGTATAGAAGTCTGGAGAAATGCATGTAAACCATTATTAATCGTATTTTTATTTTACAAAAAAGAGCCATAAGAATTATTACAAGAAAGCATTACTTTCACACATCTAATATATTGTTTCATCAGTTAAGGTTGTTAAAATTTCACGAGTTGGTTGATTATAACATTCTGCAGGTTATGTATAAGGCTCATAGAAATGCGTTGCCGTCAGACATCCAATCACATTTTGTTAAGAGGGAAAGCTGCTATAATTTGAAAGGATTACAAATGTTTGTTAAACCGAAAATCAGAACAAACTTGAAGGACAGATGCACTTCAGTAAAAGGTGAAAGACTATGGAATAACCTGGAGGATGACTGTAAAAGCATTGAATCAGGGAATTTCTTTAAGAAAAAAAAAAACAAAGAAAAAATGTTAAAGAAATATGAAATTGTTTAATGTGTATTAGTTAGTGTTTGAGGAATTGAAATTTTTGTTTTGTTTTATTATTTGGTTTATCATTGTTTGAAATATTTTTTAATTAAAAAAGGGGCAGATATAAGATTTTTTTTCTTCTGCTGC